CTAAAAATATATCATAAATTACCAAAAGTATATGAATGATTACCAAAATTACATAAAGAGGTTATTAAAAATTTGTATTAAGGGTTAAAAAATTATATTATAAATTACCAAATTAACATCCAAAGTTACTAAAATTGTATCGAAAGTTACTAAAATTTTATCAAAGGCTATGAAATTTTTAACAGAAGTTAATGAAACATATAAAAAGTTATTAAAATTAAAATTATATTAAAAAGTATCAAAATTTACTTATATATACCAAAATCAAAATTAAACTGTTAGCATTATTATTATTTATTGAGTTGAATTTTTAAAGACAAAAATTATATGTATATTACACACTTATCTAAAATTAGTATAGTTGAAATGTATAGCAATTATACATCAATTGAAATATATGTCTATCTATTTACCAATCAAAATCTAGTTTGGCATTACAAATAGTTAGAGTAATATAGACGTAATTATTAGTATAATGCTTTTTCTTTATGTGTTGAAATTGATAGGTGAGTTTGTAGTTTTGGACCAAAAAAAAAAAAGAAAAAAAGAGTTCACACCAAAAATATCAGATCAAGATAAACGCAAATGCAACAGACCCACTTCTTAATTTTTCCGTTGTCATTATCTGGTTAGATTCCTCCATTCTTTGCTCCTATGGTGCAAGTCTTTTTCTTTTTTTGCCAAATTCCTATATATGGCCAAGCCTACAAAGCCCCTTAAAGACTTTGAATTAATCCCGATGAAGAAAATAAAGGCATAAAGGAAGAAAAAAAACTTGTTGCCTTTCGGTCGCATCTAACCGGATTTGATTGGTTTTGGAAAATTTTTGCCTAAGACTTGACGAACCTTTCGTACTTAATAAGCTTGGTTTTTAAGAAATTTATTAAAATATTAAAAAAACTAAAATATGAATATTTAATATTTTTAAATATATTTTAAAATTAAAATTTAATAAACGAATATTTTTATTAAATTTTAGAAGAGTACGTATACAATTTATTTACAATTAGACAAATAAATATAATTAAATCAAACAATTTTTATCAATATCCCATAGTTATTGAGTAGAAAAATGAAAACTTATTAAATGCATCTTGATGGTCGGTGTGATAGACATTTGAAATGAAAAGAATTAACTAAATGGTCTAGCCTTTCAATATGAATTAATTTCTACCAATCAACCCTATAAAATATCTAACAAAGCAATGAGAAAACTCAGAAAAAGAAATTTGCCCGTTGAAACTATAATAAAATCAAAGGTGTAGTTACTCTTTGAAATTATTATTTGTTTGATTAATCAATCAAAAACGATTACATGACTCCGATTGAATGGTAACTTAATTTCCTTGCTCTATGTCTAAACTATTGATCAGAAATAGAGAATAAAGATTTCTTGAAAAAATGGGGATCCAGTTGAGAAACCAATGTTCAAGCTGATTTCATGTCTGATTTTTAGTTTCTATCAATTTGCCACTCGTTAAAATAGAACGTTTGTCTTTACACAAGTTGACTATTCAATCTTTTCTTAGTTTTGTCCAGGACATGATTTGTTTCCACTCAATTTTTTGATTTTCAATTTAAGATTAAAAAAATGAATCAATATAAAAGTGACAAAAAAATATAGAAGTGCAGGAAAAGTATTCAGTATAGCGATTTTGGCTCAATCACAATCGAAACCGGGAAGAATGACAATCAATCACAATCGAAACCAGGAAGAAACCCACCCATCTCACCAAGTAGATGCTCCCAACTAAAGCAGGGGCCCTATGCAAATTCTAGCTACATAACTTTCAAAGTCAGAAAACTTGAACCAATTGACGGAAGATACAGCTGCATAATATTAGAGTTCCAAAACTTTTTATATTGCATTCTAGTTCTTGTTTATGAACTAATCACTCTCACATACAAATCAATCTCATCAATTAACAAATTGATTCGGGTTGATGGAGCTATCGATCAAGCATTTCAAAGTGTCCAGCTTTTTTTTCCTCGTTTATGTTGAAGTTATAATTCTTCTCTCATGCTTCAACCTGCAAGGTCTTAACTTGCTTGGTTTAGCAGCCCCTGTAGTTAATGGTAATGACACGGATCAACAAGCTTTACTCGAGTTCAAAGCCAAGATAACTGGTGATCAGCTAAGCGTTATGCATTCCTGGAATACATTCCATCCATTTCTGCCAATGGTATGGTGTTACGTGCGGTTCGCAAACATCAGAGAGTAAGCCAAGCTGGAACTGCAAGCAACCTAAAACTTGCCAGGGTTCCCATATCCCGTACCAATTGGAAATTTGGAGCTTTCTCAGGGTAGTTGAATCTTGCACCGCCAACAGCTTACAACAACGAAATTCCGAGGAAATTCGGACGTTTTAAGAGTTGGGAAAGATTACCAATGGCCCAATAACTCCATCCAGCGGTGGAACATTCCTTCCAATTTTATCTGGTTGTTCTAAGGTTACATTTGTTGTTATGAACGGTAACCAGCTAACTGGAGAAATACCTGGTTTCCTTGGTCTCTTGTTAAACCTGAAAGGGTTAAGTTTATTCAACAACAGTTTAATAGGCAGTATCCCACCTTCATTGGGGAACTTGTCGTCCCTGGAGACACTTGTTTTGGCTAAAAATGGTCTGAGCGGGGCTATACCTGAAGCTCTTGGACAACTGACAAATCTTGCATTTTTCTTTGTGGAAGAAAATGGAATTTCTGGTATTGTTCCTTCCTCAATTTTCAATCTCTCGAAGATTAAAGGTTTTGATATTAGCGATAACAAGATTCAAGGTACTCTTCCTTCTGATTTGGGAATCTCTATGCCATATATTGAATTCTTTTCTGTCGCGCAAAACCATTTTACTGGACAATTGCCGGTTTCAATATCGAATGCCACAAATCTTAGGATATTTGAAGTTCCAAAAAACAGACTTACAGGAAACTTGCTTTCATTTGAAAAGCTAGATAAACTATCACACTTTTTCTTAGAAATTAACCATTTTGGAAATGGGGGAAGAAGTGACTTAAACTTTCTCTGTTCTTTAACCAATTCTACCAAGGTAAAAGATCTAGACATTGGTGACAATAATTTTGGAGGGGAATTGCCAGAGTGCGTTGGTAATTTGTCAATCACTCTTTCGAGTTTAGTAATACAAAATAACAGAATATGGGGAAGAATACCTGCTGGGATTGGAAATCTCATCAATTTGGAGGTGCTAGCGGCATCAGGAAATCAGCTATCAGGTTCCATTCCCCCTGCTATTGGGAAGCTTCAGAAGCTAAAGATATTTTATGCTGAAAAAAATTTTTTCCTCTCTGGGGCTATTCCCTCTTCTATTGGAAATTTGACAATGTTAATCAAACTTGTTCTAGATAATAACAATCTTCAGGGCAACATTCCTTCAAGTCTAGGAAAGTGCGAAAATTTGGTGGGATTGGATCTTTCTCATAACAATCTTACCGGATCAATACCCCCTGAAGTAATTGGACTCTCATCATTGTCCATTTATATGGACTTATCATCCAACTATTTGACTGGTGTACTTCCGATTGCAGTCGAAAATCTGAAAAATCTTGGTGAATTGTATGTTTCTCAAAACAAGTTATCTGGTTTGCTTCCAAACAATCTTGGTAGCTGTGTGAGACTGGAGCAGCTGTTCTTAGATGGCAATTTGTTTGAAGGGCCCATTCCTTCATCTTTGGGGTTCATTGAGAGGTCTTATGGAATTAGACTTATCTAACAATAATCTTTCCGGTGAGGTGCCAGAATTTCTTGCAAGCTTTCGGTCATTACAATATTTAAATCTATCTTTCAATGATTTTGAAGGTATGATTCCAATTGAAGGAGTCTTTAAGAATGCAACTGCTACATTTGTTGAGGGAAACAATAAGCTTTGTGGAGGCATCCCCAAGTTACACTTGTCCAAATGCATTTCGAAAACATCCATCAAAAGATCAAACACTTCTCTTAAATTAAAAGTTGCGATTGGTTTTGTGATTTTAGGAGCGATTTTGGTATTCTCATTTCTCCTCATTTTGTGGTTCAGAAAGAAGAAAGAGCAACCAACAGCAACTTGTGCAGAAAATTCACTTTTACAGTTGTCATACCCAAGCATCCTAAGGGCTACTGATAGATTCTCCTTGCACAATTTGGTTGGTTCAGGTAGCTTCGGTTCTGTATACAAAGGAATTCTTGAAGAGAGTGGAGTAGTTATTGCCGTTAAGGTGCTTAATCTTCTTACTCATGGAGCTCCCAGGAGCTTCTTAGCTGAATGTGAGGTCTTGAAGAACATTAGACATCGGAATCTTGTGAAGGTATTAACAGCAATTTCAGGTGTTGATTATCAAGGCAATGATTTTAAAGCATTGATTTATGAGTTCATGGTAAAACGGAAGCTTGGAGGATTGGCTGCATCCATCCGTTGGCATGAATGAACAGGAGACAATGAGAAACCTGAATTTCTTCCAAAGAGTAAATGTGGCAGTAGATGTTGCTCATGCATTGGAGTATCTGCACCATCATTGCGATACACCAATTATTCATTGTGACCTCAAGCCAAGCAATATTCTACTTGATGAGGAAATGGTTGGCCATATAAGTGACTTTGGCTTAGCAAAAATCCTTTCTGCTGACAGGCTTAACAATTCTACTACTCAGTCAAGCTCCCTCGGATTAAGAGGAACTATTGGTTATGCTCCACCAGGTAAGTACATTTTATTCATTTCTTCCATTTTAATACTTTTCTTTTAGTACAACATAGTTCAAAAGCTAAACAAATAATATGGAAGTAGTTTTTGGTTAACAAAAAATTACTACATTACTTCAAATGAGAATGTAATTTTGCATATTTTAAAGCTTGGATGTCAGAGGCGTATCTATATATTTTTCAAGGTTTCTCTTCTGCAATTCTTGCTATATATAATTTGTGATGAGTTAATTGTAGAATATGGCATGGGAAGCAAGTTGTCAACAAAAGGTGATGTGTATAGCTTTGGCATCCTCTTGCTAGAGATGTTTACTGGGAAAAGGCCAACCAATGAAATGTTCGAAGAAGTTTTCAACCTTCACAACTTTGTTGTGGCAGCTTTGCCAGAACGAGTGATTGAGATTATAGATCCCAAACTTCTTCAAGACAGAGTCAGACGAGGAAACGACAAACATCTTCAATGTTTGAATTCAATATTTGAAATAGGAGTCATTTGTTCTGTTGAATCCCCAAGTGAGCGGATGGACATGAGTGATGTTGTTACCAAGCTTTGTTCTATTAGAGACAAGCTTCATCCAAGTTGATTACCTCGTGAGGACCAAACTTTATATGCTGCTCAACCAGCAGGTAAGCAATTTGCATTATTCTTAACAAAACACTCAAAACCATTACATGACTTAAGGCACATTTTCACTTCTTTTCAGATAAATACTGTGTTCAGATGATTTGAGCAAGTAAATTATTTTTCAGTTAACATTCTATCGAAGTAAATATGATGGTTTAATTTAGTGATTTCTTTGTTTTCATATGGCTCAGGTATCTGAGGAGCCATATAAATGGACTTGAAAGGCTTAGGTGCTTCCAACTACTGCCAGTCCTTTTTTTCGCATTGTATCTGGTATTTGCAAAAGCAAAACTTTTCCAACAAGCACTCAAGTTGGAGAAGAGAAAAATAAAGAGCAAGTTTGTCCAACAATTCTTGGTGTATGTAATCTGTATGAATTTTCTTTTGTTGTGGATTATCATCAAACCAGAATTTAGAATAATGCAAATAAGTTATTCTACGACACCTTTTGTGGCTGGTTAATATAAAATTTCCTTTATTTTTTATTTTTTAGAAAAAAAAAAAAGACAAACAATCAATCCATTTAGTTGAAAAAATAAAGTAACATCTCCCTTGATAAGCTAGTTAGATAAACTGACACCATTGACACCAGCGTGAACAAATTTTATAATATCTACGATGCTACTTGGCTCACAAATATTAATACTAGAAATTCAATATTGTCTATGATGTAACGCCTCAATTTCATATTAAGATATTTTGAGGATCAATTATGATATATATGTAAAAGTTTAAGTCCAAATTTGTGAGGTACTTTTTGTGAAACAAAATCCTAAAAACTTTGAGTCAAAATAGATAATACCTTACATGTTGTGTGCGAATCTCCACAAATGGTATCAGAGTGATCACTAGTCGAACGGGAGCTAAATGCTACATTATGAGAGTCACCTCTAAAATTTTGCAGAGCTAAATACTATACAGTGGAAGCCATCTCTGGAATCTTAATGTCCAATATGATCCTGTGATCTGTGTATACCTTGTGTTAGGCTTGACGAGGACGTTAAACTTTAACGAAAGGAGTTTGTAACGTCCCAATCTCACATCAAAATATTTTAAGAATATGTTATGATATATATAAAGACTTAAACTCAAATCTGTAAGACGTCTTTTGTGAGATAAAATTGTAAGACCTTTTGGTCAAAACAGACAATACCTCGTAGGTTTGTTCGGGTCACCACAAATGGCATCTGAGCCAGGTTACCAATCAGATGGGGGTTAAGTACTATACAGTAAGAACCACCTCTAAAATCTTGTAGAAGTTAAGCGTTGCACGGTGGGAACGACCTCTAAAATCCTAACATCTAGTGTGATCTTATAATCTGTGTATACTTTTATGTTAGACTTGCCCAATGCTTGATGTGATTCAATAAATGTATGTATTTTGTGTTGAGCTTGACGGGAACGTCAAGTTTTAACAGGAAAAGTTTGCAATGCCCCAATTCCATATTAAGATATTTTGAGGATCTTCTATAATATATATAGAGGTTTAAACCCAAATTTGTGATATGCTTTTTGTGGAATAAAACTATGAGATTTTCGGATCAAATCGAATAATATCTCACAAATTTAATGCAAGTCTCCACATATGTACAACATATGTACATGTTGAGATAGAACCATAACTGTTTCCTTTAATATCACCATTACATCAAAGTTTAATTCTTCATACCACCATTACCTTTATCCTTTCATTCTTTGGTGTCATAGATTATTGGATAGATCATTGAAAAAACTTCATAAGGAATTTCTAGAAGACGAAAATTTTAATCTAGGAAGATACAACACACTTTAGTGCGAATAAATCATGTTTTAGAGAACACACTTTCAGGAAACAAAAGGCAAAATTGGAGGCATGAGTAAAGATGATGAAAAGCATAATATCCATATTTCTTCCTAAACTTTTAGCACATAACGTGACAAGCATAATTAGAAACCGAAATTAAGTAAAACAACGTTCTTTCTTTGTTTCGTTTCGAATAAGTAACAAATTGGTAAAAGCATTATCATATGGTTTCAAGTGAAAAGTACCTTCTCCCTTTCTTTATTATTGGTTTTGTTGTTTTCACAAGTGACCTCCCTTCCTCTATAAAACTGATCTTTGTATTGATCAGCTTCGTCGATTATTTAGTTCAACAACTCCTTCTCCCTTTTCTCCTTCCCCTCAAATCAAATCACATTAGCAATTACAACAGCAAAATGCTCAATATGAGTATCACTGAATCCGATAAAATTTGCTACATCTTGCACATTTTCATTAACAGAAAAACAAAAAAAAACATTTCTTAAAAAATTGAATCTAATTATGAAAAAGAATTTTATAAATTTGAGGAAAAAATTTTAAAAATAGATAAATTATAATTCCTAAATCTTTTTCGAATTCAATCTCTAAAATTGAAAAAATGCAAAGAAAAATAAAACTCCAAAATATTTTCTTCTAATTCCCGAAATTGACCTGTAAATTGTGCATATTTCCCTAATTAAAAACTAATAACCTATCATGGCTTTACCAAATATATTAAATGTGGAGTCCCATACTTAACTTGTGAAATATTGCTCGTTTTGACCTGAAGGCCTTATGATTTTGTCCTACAAAAAATACCTCATAAGTTTAAATTATAAGTCTTTACATATATATCATAGCAGTTGTCACGCCCCGAGATCAAGACGTAACACGGTCATATTACCTTGAAGAAAATCTCAAAGTAATACGAAGCCTTCTTTCTTAAACATTCTAAACTTCTTCAATAAAACAATCTACCAAGTAAAATTCATATCTTTAATCCAACTGATGATACATCTTTATATATCCAAATACAAACCATATAAAATACAAACTGCCTCTTAAAATCTCATTGGCCAACATATTCTCCGACGATTAAGTAATCTTACCCATTTCATTTTCTAGCTTCACACAAGACTAACCAAACTTATCACTTAGTCATCTGTAAAGAAAAAATAAAAGGGGAATGAGCAAACCACAGCTCAGTAAGTATAGGCTCACACACCTTATCAGATCAAGCATCGTTTTCTTACTCATCATATAGATCATTCAAAACATTCATCAAATCATAATATCAAAACATTTCAAGATCATCGTTTTGTCAAATATTTCATAAATTCATAAATTAATGTCAAAATATGTCATTTCATAAATCATTGCAAAATATGCTATCATTCAAATATCATAATCAAACCAAATCATGGATCAATCATTAAAATTATCATAAATCATCATTATCATTCATTTATCGTTAGCTACGGTCACTGCTATAACCCGTGACATTGGCCGTATCGATAATTTTATTCTCATGATCATTGCTAACTATTATAACCCGTTAGCCAAGGCTTACGCTAACTACTATTACCCGTTAGCCAGGGTCGTATGATCATGTCTTTGCTAACTACTATTACCCATTAGCCAGAGTCGTAGAACTAAGTTCTGGTGTCGATGATCCCACTTTCAAAGGATGTAAAACGTAGCCATCACAAAATCATTCTTTAATCATAAATCATTTTCTCATTTCATTCATAAGCATGATCCATCATTTATATAGAGAAACACAAAATAATCATATGCTTGATCCTATTTTCATACACTGAAAATAATGAAATAAAATATTTATTCAATTAGAAACATACATATATACATAGTTTCGAAAACAAGCAAAGTGTGTGAGATTCTACTTACCTCCATTCGATTTCACCACTTAGTTTTTCTCCCAAAATAATTAATGGCCTATCCAAGATCATTTCAATATATCAGAATTTAATCAACCCTTTTTGAGACCATTTATACAAAAAATCAACTAAGTTACACCAAGGGTTAACTTAACTAATTAATACTGGCAGCCTGACCTCTTTTCATTAAAACAGTCATATCTCAATATATCCAAATCGGAATTATGATCTCTTTAATGCGTTAGAAACTAGACTTGATAAGCTTTCTAACCATATATGGCACACCTCATAATTCCTTGTAGATTAATTATAACAATTTTTGAAATTCACGTCATATACTGCTGCCAAACAGCCTGTATACATTCTAATAAAAATTATATATTTATTCACAGGAAACTCCAAATTCAATTCCGCTTGTTTCATTGGAAAGTAGACTCAATAAGCTTTCCAAACATATATGGCTTAATCTGTAAATCCTTGTATACAAATTAAGGAAAATTTCGTAATTCAACCCTGATGCTGCTGTCTTACAGCCTATATATCCTTAAGTTAAAATTAAACAACTCTTCATAAAAAACTCGGATTTGACTTTCGTTTGTTTTATTAGAAACTAGATTCAACATGCTGTCCAATGATATATAATAATTACAACAATAATCTACCATTAATACAAAATTCTATTTTAATTCATTATTACTGATCACAACATCTCATCCAAAAATAGAATTTCTCCTTCAATCTTTAAAAATTCAAATCCTTACTTTCAGCATTTAAACTCCATTCAATAATCATCAATAACTCTTAAGAACATGAAATAAACAAAGCCTAATAATTTACCCATATAGATCATCAAGATTAATGAAGGATTTCATGATTTTTCTTGATTTTTCTCTCAAAACTTCAACTCCAAATAATAGCAATCAACTTGATATTTCTTTCAAATAAAAAGAGGGCATGTACTCACCTAGAAGAGATTAACTTGATTGTAGCCTCTGATTGTGAATCTCCAACTTGATTTTTCATATTCTCTAACCCTAAGGAAGATGAAGAAGAAGAACTTTATTTCCTTTCTGTTTCACAATAGTTAGGTTTTCTTTAATCTAATACTTCAGCCCTTTTTCTTTTACTAAATAATATCTTAATAAACTGATGGGCTTTAGTATTTGTCTAGCCCAATTATTATTTGGGCTGGGATATTACAGCAGTCCTCAAAATATCACGATATGAGATTGAAATGTTACAAACTCCACGGTTAAAGCCTAACATCCATCTTAAATCCAACACAAAGCACACAGATCCACCAAATCACACAAAACGTTGAGCAAGCCTAACACAAAGCACACACAGATCACAGAATCACATAAAGACATTAAAATTCTAGAGGTGATTTTCACTGTATAGCACTTAGCTCTTGCAGAATTTTGAAGGTGACTTTTATGATGTAGCACTTAACTCCCATTCGACTAACAACCATTTTGATATCATTTATGGATACCTACATTTAACCTGTGAAGTACTATCTGCTTTAATCTAAAAGTCTTATGATTTTTCTAACAAAAATACCTTATAGGTTTAAATTTAGTTATATATATATATATATATATAATAACATATTTTCAAAGCATCCTGATATGAGATTGGAACGTTACAAACTCTTTCGTCAAAACTTGACATCCCCGTTGAACTCAACACAAAGCATACAAATTTACCGAATCACACCAAACATTAGGCGCTTTTATGGGACAAAACCATGAAACCTTCAAATCAAAGCGAA